AGCAGGTTGCCCCAAGCCTCTGTGTCCAACGTGGCCTTGGACACTGCCAGGGATGGGGCAGCCACAGCTTCTCTGGGCACCCTGTGCCAGCGCCTCACCAGCCTCACAGGGAAGAACTTCTTCCTTATGTCTAACCTGAACTTCCCCTCTTTCAGTTTGAACCCATCACCCCTTGTCCTATCACTACAGTCTCTGATGAAGGTCCCTCTCCAGCATCCTTGTAGTCCCCTTCACACACTGGAAGCTGCTATGAGGTCTCCACTCAGTTTCTCCTCTCCAGGCTGAACAGCCCCAATGTTCTCAGCCTGTCTTCACACGGGAGGTGCTCCAGCCCCTCATCATCCTCGTGGCCTCCTCTTCACTTGCTCCAACAGCTCCATGTCCTCCTTATCTTGAGGACACCAGAACTCCACACAGTGTTGCAAGTGGGGTCTTGTGAGTTTATGGGCACAGAAGATGAGCTGTCTTAAGGAAAGTCCCAGTAGAAGTAAAGGAGGACTGCTGTATTTGGTCCTTTGCCTGTCATGTGACTAAGAGATTACTTGCAGTGTCTGCATCTGGGTGTCCCTGCCCATGACAGGGGGGTTGGAACTACATGATCGTAAGGTCCTTTCCAGCCCTAACTATTCTATGATCTTGAGTTCATGTTTGTGTATTCATGCAGGTCGCCGAGGTCTTTACAGTGGTACTTCTGGCCTGCAGATTGCATACCTGAGTGGCACCGAGGCCCAGCATGAGCCAGCTCCTGCCTACAGTTTTAGTGCAAAGGATGTGGCAGAACTGAAAACATCTTTGTTGTCAACACCAAACTTCAAAGGTGTGGATATATTGCTGACATCCCCCTGGCCCAGAGATGTGGGGACTTTTGCCAACAGTGCGGTAAGTGTTCTGGTTTCTGGTGGAAGGGGTTTCCAGATGGATTTAAAAAAGGCTTGTCTTTCTGCTTGCTGTGGTAATTTGGGCTGTTGAGCCATCTCTGAGCAGGTACTCTGGTTCTTCAGTGAAGGAGAACCAATGAGGAGGGGGATTTGTGAAACTTCAGAGTGTTCTGTCTATCCTGCCTGGAAAATCAGTCAATAGCTTTCATCTGATCACACTTACTGTTCTGAATTCATTTAGTTGCAGGTGCTGCTGAATGCTGCTGCTAATCATGCAGTGGAATGTTGTGCTCTGAGCATCTTCAATACCACCTGACATTAAGGCATTCTTTTTTTCCCTCTGCTTCAAAACTTTTCAAGCATTTTGCTGTTTATTTCCATAAGTATCAGTCAGCTGTACTAAATGGTCTGGTTCTTTGGCTGGATTTTGAGGATGTTGTTTCATTTGTGTCCAGTTTTCTGTTGTTAGTGTTCCTCCGTGGAATTGGTTTTCCTATGTTGAGGTGATAGGAAACCTTCCTGGAGAACAAGGCTGCATACTGTGGCAAAAGTACCCTTTTTGCTTCCTCTCAGTATCTTCTGACATCCAAAAAGAGAGATGATCCTCAGTCTAAAAGTCTAAAGAACCCTCCCTCATCTCTCCTTGCCAAAGGAATCAACCCCACTAGGGAGCTGGAGAGAAACAAGTTGTAGGGATGTTCTTGCTTAAAAAGAAACCTCTGATCTCGAAATTCTGATGTGGAGTCTCTGTAGCATCGTTCCACACTTGGCTTTCTGTGGCATGGATTTTCTGAAAATGTACTCACGTGGATTAACAGGGGGATATTAACAGTGGTTATATTCAAATATGCATCTTCTTAGAGTGTATATTTATCACCTGTGGGTTTCAGTAGTAAGTCTTAGAGATTCCCTTGTGCACTGAGGCCCTGAAATCCCATCACTCAAAGCAGGAAGTTTGAGGAATGAACAATTAGGCCTCTTGCCTTTTGTCACCTGAAGTTTCTCTTTCAGCAAAAGTCGTGTAAGGAGCTAAATTGGATGGATGAGAGTTGACTCATGGGAGAAGTCTATGGCTTTCCTTTTCCTGAGATGCTTCATAGCTCTGGCTGTTTTCAGTGGGGCTGGAAGCAGCCAGCCCTCAGTGCAGATACTACTGTCTTTCCCTCTGCCATGCCCATTGCAAGGGCAGTAGGAGGGAGCACAGAGAGGAAAACTGCTTTCTTGAGAGCAGATTAGTGCCTGTCCTGCTGCTGTAATGCAGGGCTGTGACAGATGCCTGCCAGGTCAGAGTCTCATGCCCTCTGCTTTTAACAAAGATGACAAGGTATAACAAACATGGGCTGTTCCTGAACTTCTCTCTTCTTTTGCCCTTTTCTTTCCTTACTTCACTTCTCAGTCTAAGACTAAGACTTCTGATTCTAAGGGGAAAAGACAGCACAAGACCTCAACCCAAGGAAATGGTTTGAAGTCTGCTCTTTGGTTGTGTTTTGTGTTTTGTTTTGCTCTGGCTTCTTTCTCTGATGGGAGCGGGATAAAATTTTGCTTCCTAAGGAAACCTCAGAGCTTTTGTAGTTACTTGACTCATGTACTAAAGCTTTGTTGCTCTGGGCATGTGGTCAAAAGTTGTCTTAATGATTTTGACATCTGTTGGTGTTTGCCAAACTCACTCTGCTGTCCTGGCTTCACAAGACCAGGAGAAGGAAAATACAACCAACTTGGATTGATGAAATGAGTGGAGGCAAACGCCGAGTGCACAGAATGGGATAAATGAGTAGGCTCTGGTTGGTGGTAAGAGATCAAGGCCTTCTGACTTCATTTTCCCCTTCCAGGGAATGGTGACCACTGTAATCAGTCTCTACATTCCCAGCATACTTCATTTTCACCGCAGTCTGACAGTTGCTTTTAAAATAAATCTTGGTTTGTGTTTTGTAGGGAGAAATAGATACCAAGAAATGTGGCTCCAAGTTAGTATCTGATCTAGCTGCAAGTCTCAAACCAAGGTACCACTTTGCTGCCCTGGAGAAGGCTTATTATGAAAGACTTCCTTACAGGTTTGTAGGACCATGTGAAATCTCATTTCTTGTCTAATAAGAGTTCAAGTTTTAAAGAAAACAGGTGGACAACTTTAGAAAAACTTTATCAAGTCATCTAGCCCCAGCACAGGGTCAAGATTGTTTCCTGCTGCCTCAAACTGTGCTACTGGTGCCAGTCCAAGTACATTGCTGTGAATCTGATGTCAGGTTCGTTGTCCTTAGTCACATTTAAACAGTGTTATGCCTAATGCAGGGGTGTATCTCTGAAAATGTATCATAGAAGGCTGTTGTGTGGTGAAAAGACTGGTGTCAGTCAGACGTCTGTATATAAAATGTGACTAGTGACATAATGCAGGTGTCAGAACAACTTACAAATAAAACTGAAGCTGTTGTGTTGATGTTGGCTAAGATTGTTGTCCTTTCCACAGGAAACACTTTAAAGGTGTAGCTGTTCTCAGACTAGTAAATTGTCCTCTCTTCTCTGTTTTGCAGTGCAGTGAGATGTCATTTTGATCTGTGTAGCCATTTGCTGTTGGATCTCATGAGTCTTTCCTCCAGCCCCCTTGTTTTTTGCCAGAGACCCTATACGGCTAACATGCTGTCTGAATAACTTCATGGAGGACACGTGGTTTGCCCACTGTCCTTTTCCATGTTGTATATGCCAGTAGTCATGTTTTGCTTCCTTACAGAAACCACACAGTGTTACAGGAGACCCCGCAGCATGTGAGCAGGTTCATTGCACTTGCTGAAGTTGGCAATACAAGCAAGAAAAAGGTACTGACACTCTTGAATCTATCTTCTTTTCTCAAGTACAAGAAATATGGCAGTAAGCCCAGCTTTGGCTAGCTAGAGGACAGAGTTGATCACTTCAAAGCTTGACTGAACTGGAAGGTTTAGTCTCACTTGAGTAACAGATACCAGTTGCCCGTTATGTCAGAGGGTAAGATGTGTTCTGAGGCACTGTTCTTCTCTGCCTGGTCAATTGGCATGTAACTGTGAAGACAGCTGCAGAGGAAACTGGTTAGAAAGCTACTGTTTCTTCCTTTTCCCCAGCTGCTTTACATGGAAGGAAGTGAAATTCCAAAGGAGCCCTCACAAATCACTGAAAATAACTTCTGGAATAGGAAGGGACTGTTTTTTTGTGGGGGGTGTTTTTTTAACCTGTTTCTTCTCTACCCTTAAGAAAGTCACAGAATTTTGGTATAAAAGAACATGTTGCTAGTGGTTAAGAATGCATAGAAACCAGGCCTGGTAACAAAAAAGATCCAGGAATTCTGCATAGAAGGCCTGGAAACAGGCAAGGATCAAGGTTGTTTCTTTTTCAAGTAGGATACACTGCTGCTCTTCAAAAAGATCTTCCTTAAAGTGAAAGAAGTGAGCTACTTTGAAGCACTCCATAAACTCTTGGTTGCTGTGGGTGGGAGACTAGCACAGGGAGTGTGTTTTTCATGTCCTGCCTTAGCTTTAACATCAATTTGCTGAGTTCTTGCAGTTCTAAGTTGTGTGTTACTGTTTCAGGGTGGCTGTTTACAGGTGACCTCTTCAGAGTTGCAGTCATGGCAAAACCTTCTTGCATCTGAGCCATCTGTTTTTGTTCTAGTATCTCTATGCCTTCAGCATTGTGCCAATGAGCTTGATGGACCCTGCAGAGCTAGTGAAACAGCCACAGGACACCACTGAAAATCCATACCGAAAATCACAGAAGGAGGCACAGAAGAGCAAAGCATTCCTGTGTGCAGAGGTACTGCTGTATTTTCCTTCATGTGTTTGTGTTCAGGGAGCTCAGAACGACATTTGGCTTTAACTTGGGAATATTTCTGTCCAAAATACTACAGGATTCTGTGTGAACAATTTACATCAACCAAACTGCATAGATGCAATGCATGGGAGTTTGTTACAGTGTGTCCTTTCTTAAGCCAACTGTATCTTGGGCTGCATCCAAAGGAGTGTGGCCAGCAGGTCAAGGGAGGTGATTCTGCCCCTCTGCTATGCTCTGGTGAGACCCTGCTTGCAGTTCTGCATCCAGCTCTGGAGTCCTCAGACAGGGACCTGTTGGAGAGGATCTAGAGAGGGGCCACAGAAATGACCAGAGGGATGGAGCACCTCTCCTATGAGGAAAGAGAGTTGGGGTGGTTCAGCCTGGAGAAGAGAAGGCTCCGGGGAGACCTTATTATCATAGAATAGTTAGGGTTGGAAAGGACCTTAAGATCATGTAGTTCCAACCCCCTGCTGTGGGCAGGGACCCCTTCCACTAGACCATGTCGCCCAAGGCTCTGTCCAGCCTGGCCTTGAACACTGCCAGGGATGGAGCATTTACCACTTCTCTGGGGACCCTGTGCCAGCGCCTCAGCACCCTCACAGTAAAGATATCTTCTTCCTTATATCTAACCTGAACTTCTCCTGTTTCAGTTTGAATCCATTACCCCTGTCCTATCACTACAGTTCCTGATGAAGAGTCCCTTGTGGCCTTTCAACACTTAAAGAGGGCTTATGAAAAAGACAGGGACAGACTTTTTAATAGGGCCTGTTGCAATAGGTCAAGGGTTAATTGTTTTAAACTAAAGAGGGGAGATTCATACTAAATATATGGAAGAATTTTTTTTTACAATGAGGGTGGTGAAACACTGGCACAGGTTGCCCAGAGAGCTGGTGGATGGCCCCATCTCTGTAAGTGTTCAAGGCCAGGTTGGATGGGGCTTGGAGCAACCTGGTCTAGTGATGGGTGTCACTGTGTATTGCAGGAGGAGTTGGAACTAGATGGCCTTCAAAGGTCCTTTTGAACTCAAACCAGTTTATGGTTCTAGTTGCAGGTCTGCATGGTGATGCTGTATTTAGATCTGCTTCCTTGTCAGGACTGTTCTCTATGGGCATCTCAGCATGCATGGTCTTGTTCTCATAAGCTTGTAGACTACAAAGTAGTCCTTTCCAGCTGGCCCCCAGTTTTCTCCCTTAGATTGCTGGCTACTCAGGTGCTACTTCTTTTGATGTTGCATTTCCACTGTATCTCTCAATGTGGTGACCAAATGTTGAGTACAGTTGGTTTTATTCAAGTGTCCTAAGTCACCAACTCTGTGCTCCTTTAAATATCAATTGCTACTCCTGAGGTCAGAAGAGTTCCTTCCTGGGGCCTGAACACTTGGCTGTTGGTGTCAGAAGATGTGAATTGCCAACTTGGTAATTTGATCATCAGGCAAGTGGATGTGTTCAGGTGCAGAGACTCAGGTTATTTCCCTGTGCAGAGCATGTTTTGCCCTCCAAGAATATTGGGATACTCTGCTAATGCAGACATGCGAAGAGCTATACCAACGTAATGTAGATAAACTAAACTGGAAGATGATTGGTGTGGGGGGAAATACTCAGCCTGAAGTTAAGCTGCTGCATTACTGGGAAAGATAAATTCATTGATGCTTTTGCTGTTGATGCTTTTCAAAGGTAGTTGCACATCTCTTGAGGAAAAAGCAAATTCTTGTATGTAGTATGACTCTGTGATGCAGTTGTAATCTTGGCTTTGGTTTTCATTTTCTAAACAGGAAGAATCAGCTTGTCAGTTTTTCTTTGATTTGAACAAGCATCAGGGGAAGAAACGTCCCTCAGATGGGAAAGAAGGAGGGAACTCCCAACCTAAGCAAGCCAAAAAACCCCGTAAGTATGCAGATGCTTTTACCAAAGCTCTTCTTTTGAGGCATTGGACCATCTCACTCTTCATTTATCCCAAGCTGTGGAACTGTGGATGTCAGCTTGCCAGCGTGCTCTCTCTCTATACTGGATGCTGTGGGAATACAGAGTGAAGGGTTCCTTGTTTCCTACAACCCTGACAATCAATAGGTGAAAGACAAGTCAAAAGCATAATTTAAAAGCTAGCTGGATCTGTGGTGGTTGCAGTTGAGCTGATGTCGTTTACCCTCTGAACCAGACTGGCCCCTGAGCATGACAAGAGGCAGTTTCACAAAGCAGCATGTTTCCTTTCAGAGGGACCAGAAGAGACTGGTTCATGGTGCTGATGAGTTCTTGAAACACCACTTCAGTTGTTCTGTGCTGTGAGTTCACAAAGTATGAATGCGCTAGGAAGGGAGGAAGCTCTTCTATTACCTCTGTATTTCTGTGCTGTAAATCTCATTAGAGTTTGTCTGACTTGAAGGAATTGAAATGAAATCTTTAGGCATCATGACTTCTCAGTGACAGTGTTACTGCAAGCATGGATCTTTAGGAAAGTTGGTCTCAGTTATAAAGAAGTTTGGTCTTAAGACATAAATGCAGGTGTCAGCCTGCCTTCTGTTTCTCTGAAAGCTATTCCCACTGCCAGTGGGTAAGAAAACATTCTTCAGAAATGCCCCTGGTAGGTAAATCTGGTTGCCTTTGTTACATGGGACTAAGTTGTTGGGGTTCATTTATTAGATTTCCAAACCCTTTGCATGGTCTTTGCACATAACAGTTCACAGGCTAAATTACCTTATACTCAGCTGAGTGCAGTGCCATTGCTCCACACATACCTGCAGAGGCACGACTGGCTGTGATGGCAGTTTTGATGAAGGAATGTATGTGGGTTTTCTTGTTTTCCCCCATCACTTCAGTAGGACATAGTATGCCACTGTGTATGTTCAACTTCCATAGTCTCTGGAGTTTGTTGTGAGAAGAGAGCCCTGTTAACACTGTTTTGCTCAGAAATGAACCCAGAATTGGATATTTGGTTTCCTGCAGTTCTTAGGAGTCCCCTGTCATTCGTATTGCCTTTGCAAAGCTGCTCATCTATTCTTATACACAGCCTGCAGAGGGGACACATATAGTGTTTAACCATAAGGTGGCTTATCAATGCCATCAACTTACATTAAACATCAGCTCAGGTATCACAGTTTGGGTGTGAATCCAGGTGAGTGTGATGCATAGACCAGAACTGACAAGTGTCTGTCCTTACCTTTACCTATGTAGTAATTTTACCTTGTTTTGATTTGTTTGTTTAAATTTGCTGCTGCTTTCTTATTACTGAGCTGTAAGCACTAAAATCCTGGAATTAGTGCTCTTCTATGAAATCAGAACACTCTGAGAATGCTCTCAGCAAGGGTGTGACTGCCACCACCTCCTTTCTTGCTAGGATTTCCCAGAGGCACCGGTTCTCTGATGAGATCTGCTTCCAGATGTCTTTTTGACATCTTCAGCACTTTTTCAGCTGGGAAGGGTGGTTGGAAAATAACAGCTCCTCCAGATCTTGTTCCATTCCTTGTTCTGACAAATAAGCTTTGTGCTTTCTCTTTTCTTTCCCAATAAAGCACAGCCCTCGGGGCCCTGCTGGTTCTGTCTCGCCAGTCCAGAAGTTGAGAAGCACTTGGTTGTTAGTATTGGCACACATGTAAGTACCCAGAGCATGTTCTTTGCTACATAATGGCAGAAACATGCTAAGACATGGCAATATAAAACATCAATTCCAATTTTAATCTTTAAAAAAAAGCCCCAAACAAATTTTATTTGCATCTGACTTTTGATTTTATTTTCTGTTTCTTCACATCTCCCCTACAAAAGTCATAACTATATTAAGTCTTAAAAAATCAAGCAGTTTTGCTCTGGCAGCAGAGCTGGATTACGGTGCAAGAACACTTTGCTGTTGCCAGCCCTCAAGTTTGCTTATGTTACCATCTGGCAGAATTTTTCCAGTGTGAACTCAGTGTAAACTGGGAGCTGCTTTGGCAGCAGGATGCACTGTCTGGAGTCATGCCAGATGTCCCTGGGATGATTGGTTCCAGTTACATACAGATTGAACAGAAGACAAGATAGCTTTAAAGTCAACATCTTTCAGAAGAATTCAATCATTAGTATATTCATTTTGCCTAAAGTTATTGCTGCTGTGTAGCATAATCCACTTCAAACTGCTACGGGTTTGGCCACAGGCTTATTTTAAGAGCTGTTAATGATTTTGCTTTGGATTTTCTTGTCATAGTAAGAAATTGTAGCCACACTGGGGAAGTTCACTCAGCTGCTTTCCTGCAGATAAGGCATTCTCTGGTATTCAGATGATGATATTTTTTTCTCTCTTTCTCATTCCTCTAGTAATTAATAAATTGCTTATACACAATCCCTAATAAGTGACATAGAGAGGAAGACTTTCCTGTTCCTGAGGCAAATTGCTAGGATGGGGGATTCTCAGAATGCATTCAGAGAGTAAATTTCCATAGCATGGTAAGTAAGTGTTGCTTGCAGTGAGTAACTGGTGTGTATTGTTTCACTCTAGTGCTATCTTGCCCTGGCCAAAGGTGGCTTATTACCTGATCACGTCTTGATTTTGCCTATTGGGCACTATCAGTCAGTGGTTGACTTGTCTTCAGAGGTGGTGGAAGAAGTGACCAAGTACAAGTCTGCCCTAAAGGAATTTTTTGAAAGAGATATGTCTTATTTGAAAGAAACTATAAGAGTCAGCATCTGCAGTTACAGGTATGATTTTAGTGTCACCCTAGGAGAATATAAACTTGCACTTACCTGCAAATGAATTGAAAGAGAAAGCTCACCTTCAAATTTCCCTCCTTATTCTATACCTTCCCAGAGCATGGAGAGAAGTCGTCCTACTGACAGATAGAGCCAGAGCAAAGCTAAAACCAGTGTGCTGGTTCTGCCACAGTCCTTTAGTTCTTCCCGTTACAGCAGCACAATGTTGGTTGTGTTGAGTGGGTGAGGAAGGATTTTCCCTGCATGGAACTGATTAAAAAGCCCACGAGGTTTTCAGGTTAAGTGGCAAGACGTTGCTCACACTGGTACATACACTGTGGTGCTCGCATTTGTAACTGAAATAGGCTGAAAATCTAAAGATGAATGCAAAGCTCTGGTCACTGCCAGCCGGTACCAGCCCTTTAATTTGACTTTTTGTCCTTGTGTGTCAATCATGTAGGGGTTTATTGTGGTGGTTTCTGTATTTGGCAGATCTGTAACTGTGTCAGAGCGGCCTTAAACTACCACAGAGATGAGAAAGGAGAAGGCTGTGCTGAGAACTTTTTCAAGCTTTTAGTTTTCAGCTTCTTGTTCAGCTCCTACAGAAAACACCTCATAAGTTTAAGCCTGTACGGACAGGTCTCCCCTGTCTTGTTTGATGATGCTGAGCAATACTGAGGAGCAAAGCTCCAGTGATGGATTGATTGCTTTCAGCAAGTGCTTTGTTTTGTCTTGCCTTCTTTTTATGGAAATGTTGTCCTCTTTCTCCAGGTGATTCCTGTCCCCTTGGACCGCTGTACTGCCGAAGACATTAAAGAGTCCTTTATTGCACAGGCCCAGGAACAAAAGATTGAATTATTAGAAATCCCAGAGCACTCGGATATCACGCAAGTATGAGACAAGGTTTCACCTGTTACTTTACTTCTTCCCTGTCTAGTTCCTCTGCAAATACTGTGTGTGGCAGGGTTAAGCTGTTGATACGGAGATGTGTCAGATGTATTCTGCTCTTGGTGACCTTCCAGTGAACAACAAATGTGTTCCCAATCTGAAATTTTTTTCCAGCTGTGTGTAGGGCTTGCTAAATTCACAGACTTAGGGAATGGTTTGATTTGGAAGGGATTTTAAAGCTCCAACCCCCTGCCACGGGCAGAGACACCTCCCACTAGAGCAGGTTGCTCCAAGCCCCTGTGTCCAGCCTGGCCTTGAACACTGCCAGGGATGGGGCAGCCACAGCTTCTCTGGGCACCCTGTGCCAGCGCCTCAGCACCCTCACAGGGAAGAGCTTCTTCCCAATATCTAACCTGAACTTCCGCTGTTTCAGTTTAAACCCATCATCCCTTGTCCTATTGATACAGTCCTTGATGAAGAGTCCCTCTTTAGCATCCAGAGAGGGATCTGGTGATTATGGTTACATGCCACAATTGCAAAGGGGGCAACCCACATGGCAGGGGGTTGGAACTGGATGGTAAGTTCCCTTCCAACCCAAACCAGTCTGTGATTCTATGATTCTGTGTATGCGTCATCCCAGCAGAGAGTGACCCATTGCTTTGTCGTCCCTTGGAAGCTCTGGTTTGATGTCACCTACTGAAGTTGGTGTCTGTGGGCTGGTTGGTTTTGCCCAGTGTCCTCTCTAAAGGAATTGCCCCTCTGGCCAGGATACCCCAGCTCTGGTCCAGCACCGCCCTCCCAGAGTGCTGGCGGGAGGCCACACCGGGTCGCCCTGTCCCCTCCTCTCCCCCTCAGGTGGCCCGCTCCGGGACGCCCTACTTCTACGTGGAGCTGGACACAGGCGAGAAGCTGTTCCACCGGAT